AAGGTAAGCCTAAATACAATAGAAAACAGATGTAGTAATGTCTTGACAGAAAAAATGGTAAAACCTAAACTTTCTCACTACCTGACATTGATGTATTTTTGCTTTAGAAATAGTTTTTCACCTTCTTAGTGAGTCTGAGACAAAATTAAAATAATTTTAAAATACATTTATTTTTAACATTAAATTTTGTTACTCCGTAACAACCGTATTTAAACATTTATCTTATTTTCTAAATAAATTCCAGAATTTAAAGAGACTGAAAGTAAAAGGTCTTAGATCTCAAATACAAGGCTTGAATTTCAATATCTTGTATTCGTTTTTCTCATATATTATAACATTAACTGAACTTCACTTTGAGATTTAAATTAAATCACTCAGAAAAACACTATAGTTTAGAACTAAATAAATTTTACTTTCTTTTTTCTATTATTTCAACTCACTCTTTTAAATATTCACTTTTTTATGTTTTACTTCTTTACTTGTTTTTTTGTATATTTTGATATATTCTTTTATTTGATTCCTTTTTTAATTAATATTCTTGTTAAATAACAATATCAGATTTCTATAAATCTATCTTTTATTAAGAAAACACTCACTTCAATATTTGAATTTCAACCCTTGTTTTTGGGGATAAGAAAAATAATCTACTTCCGCCTTTTGCGGGAAAAGAAAAAATAAGGATATAGTAAACGTCCGCTCTGCGGGAAATACTCAATAAAACTCCTCGATTAATTTCAAAAGGAAATCGTTCACACCCTGGAAATTGACTCAATTTTTATAGGTGGGAGAAACTTATGCACACGGCCCGCCAATACTTTATTGTTACTAAGGAAGCTTTTTGCAAGCTTGCAAATTCCTTGGTAAATGGCGTGATAGAGTTTGTTGTTCTCTATTGGATTTTGCGCGTGTGTAATATGTATTCTCCTTTGTTAGTAATTTTTATAAGTGCTTTGAAGAGTCTTTGTGTGGGTGACTACTTTTGCAGAATTGACAAATTCCCGAGACGGTCGCTACATCTCCTTAAATGATTTCTTTTCATATTCTAAATTATTGAGACGATAATTAGTAATTCCAAATAATAAAAAATATAAAATAACTATTTCTTTTAATGGACTTTCTCTATGATTTGTAATAACAAATTGATGGGTAATATATATATATATATATATATATCCTTAGCATTTATTTAATGCTTGTTTAGTGTAAGGTGTACTTAATTTTAATTAACAAGTTTACCCATTTTAGATTCTATATAATCTTAATAAAATTTTTAAAAAATATTTTAAAAATTAAAATAGTTACGTTTCGAACGTAACACTGCTACTGAAATTTTCAATAATTTAAATATTTTTGGCTTTCTTAAAAAAGAATTTGATAAAATAATTTTAAAAAATAGTAAAACTGAACAAATGAATGACTTTACTCCCTGTCGTCAGCTATCAGAAAGCGACATTTTTGTGCATGTGGGATAAAAATAAAATTTTGAAATCAATAGAAAAAGTTTGCCTGACAAATAAAACTTTTACTAGCTATATTCTACAATTTACAAAAAACGTTATAAACTTTTCTGACTAAAACAGATTTTACCACTGATATTAAGGATGAACGTGCGCGACTTTCCCTGACAAAAATTTAAACCTTAAAATGAGATTTTTCATATGGAATGTATTCATACTTTAGAAAAAAACTTTTTTTTGTTACTGTCACACACACTAGAAAAATTTTATATTCATTGAAAAACAAATTTAAAGCTATGAAAAAATGAGGGACTAACTCTGCTGGGGCTCTGCTGGTTTCGTGAAAAATTCTGGGAAAATTCAAATATTTTATATTCATATATAAACTAATACTATGTTATAACCCGTGCAGAAATCGCCACTTTTGTTCCCGATTACCGCCCTGGCCCCGGTCGGGTTTTCATGATCTGGCCCCGACTTCGTGGCCCCGACCAGGACCAGGCCGGGTTTGCCCAAGGATCTACAAACAGCGCACAATGGGATTTTTTTTACAATTTACTGTTCAAAACTGTCTACAGCCTACAATTCTTAACCGGTTTCAGTATTCTTTATTTTAAATTAAAGGCGAATAAATTCTTAAGACATCCCTTAAGGTCAATTTTTTAGTTCTTAATTGTTTATAATTTTTATTTTCAATCAAAGTTAACAAATTAATACAATTTTTCAAAAAAGGAGGCTTATTTTCTTATTCTGTTGCTGCATATGATCTGAATCAGTTCAAATTAATACAATATGACCACCACACAATTAATAAAACAGAAAGTAATTTATATCAATTGTTACAAACAATATTAATTAACAAATAGTTAACTTTGATTTCTTTCCACTAAAAAATGTTTTTTTCACCTTTTCTTTTTAATTTAAGTTCATTTAAAGAATATTTGTCCTTTTTGATTATAAAATAACTTATTTAAATTGTTATAAACAATATTAATTAACAAATAGTTAACATTGATTCCTATTCCACTAAAAATTTTTTTTCACATTTTCTTTTTAATTTAAGGCTATTTAAAGAATATTTGTCCTTTTTGATTAAAAAATAACTTATTTAAATTGTTATAAACAATATATTAAATAACAAATAGTTATGTAACTTATGTTCCTGTTTACCAAAAAAAATTTTTTTCACGTCTACTTTTTAATTTAAGTTCATTTTAAAAATATATGTCCTTTTTGTTTAAAAAATAACTTATTTAAATGGTTACAAATAATATTAATTAACAAATAGTTAATTTTTGTTTTTTTCCACCAAAAATTTTTTTTTCACGTTTACTTTTTTATTTAGATAATGTTAAAAGACCACGGATATATAATATTAAATATTTAAATAAGTTATATTATAAGCAAAAAAGACATATATTCTTTAAAAGAACCTAAGTAAAAAAGAAAATTTGTGACAAAAATTTTTCAGGATCATAAGTTAACTATTTGTTAATTAATATTGTTTATAACAATTTAAATAAGTTATTTTTTAATCATAAAGGAAAAATATTCTTCAAATGAACTAAAATTAAAAAGAAAATGTAAAAAAAATATTTTTTATTGGAGAGGAATCAAAGTTAACTATTTGTTAATTAATGTTGTTTATGACAATTGAAATATATTACTTTATGGGTTTTTAATTGTCTGCTGGTAATATTGGATTAATTTGAACTGATTTAGAGCATGTGCAGTAACGGAATAGGAAAATAATCGTCCGTTTTTAAAAAATTGTGTTAATTTGTTAACTTTGATTGAAATTTGAAAATAAAAATTATAAACAATTAAAAACTCCAAAATTGGCCTTGAGGGATGTCTTAAGAATTTATTCTCCTTTAATTTAAAACAATAGGACAAACGCACCAATTGTCGTGGGTGAACCGCATTTGTCGATGTTATCATGGTGATAACCAAAAATATTGCCTAAAATGTTAAATTTATTTGTGGTTATAATATTAACATATTATTTTTGACATTTATAACTCTTAAAAACTCTTAAATATTTTTCACACTTAAATTGAAATTCCATGTTTAAGGCAAAAAAATAAATTATTATTAATTAATAATTTTTAGTATTATTGTGAATTATTAATAATAAAAAATTTTTTATTATTTTAAAAAATAGTTAAATTATAAATAATAGAGAATAAATAATTAAATTAATAATTTTTACCATATTATTATGATAAACATATTAATTTATATATATATATATATATATATATAACATACATTTTTAATAATTTTTCTATAAATAAATATGATGCAATCAATTTATTATGATAACACTGTATATAACGGTCCCATGATTCAAAAGGAAGTTTAAGCGAGGTCGCTTCCAAGCTTGCGTGGCTATGCGGTATGTGTATTTTACTTGCGTCCTCGAGGTCTAGGGTTCTATCCCCCGTGCGTGCGATATTTTTCCGTCTTAGTTTTAAGTGTTTTGTTTATAATTCTCAATAATGTTACATAAAGTATAGGTTTAAATAATTATTAACAATAATAATAATAAATTAGGCATTAATTTAAATAAGATAGTCTGTCTAAATTAATGAAAGAAAATAAGAAAAATTTTTTTTTTTAAAAACTTAGTTCAATAAAAGCAATTCTAATAATTATTTACATTTTTAATGACACTCATAAAAGTTTATTTACTACAAAAATATTAATAATAATTATTAATATTGAAGTAAATACTCCCCATGCTTTAATAATCAAATAACGAGCTTTAATATAATAAAATGCAGTCAGTATTGGATTTCTACCTGGGTAGCGAAAAGATCGGGGGAAATCCCATGGCCCCGACCGGGTCCCGACAGGGCGGACAGATCGGGCAAAGTGCCATGGCCCCGGTCGGTTTTAGTGTTTCAACCAGGCCGGGGCCAGGTCGGGTTGCCAGATCGGGGCCCGGTTTTTCCCGATCTGGCCCCGGTCAAAATTTCTGCACGGGAACAGTTGTTTTATGATTAGTTGGTTAGAATTAGAATATTCTTTATTAATGCAGAAAAATGTCAATGCATGTAATTTATCGTTATGTCGAATATTCGTCATTCAAGTTAGCTTAGTTCAACTTCAAGTTGAACTACCCCGAACATTCGAATGTCGAATATTCGACATTCGAACAAATTAGTAATTTAAAGTTAATAATTACTAATTTTAAAAAGTAATAATTAGGTACTAATTATAGGGGTCATCCAAAAAATACATAACGTTTTTGAAAAAAGGGAGGGGGGTCAAACTATCTGTTAGTGTCAGTAGAAAAATTAGGACTCAAACATCAAACAGTTCGTTTCAAAATGGGATGGGTGATTAAAATTTCCAAAAAAAGGGTTTCGTATTTTTTGAATAGCCCCCAATTTAAAAAACTGATTTTTATAAACTAGCAAATAGAAAGTTTTCTTATAATATTTAAATCTAGAAGAAAAATTTCAAATTATTTTGCGTTACGGTCAAGTTGAAGAAAAGAAAATTCTAAAAAGTCGTCATTAAGAAAAAAATACTTACAGAGTATCCTGTTCCAGCAGAGAGACATGCATGTCCTGTGAGTGTGGCGATAGTGAAAATATGTGGATTCACAGAACAGAGCGCCATTTCTTTAATGTGACACAGAGCATCAGCCATTGCCATTCGTCCTTCAGCGTCAGTATTCCCAATGCGGACTCTCATGCCCGACTTGGCGGTAATCACTTCGTCAGAGACATAGCAATTTTCCCCGACGCTATTTCTTACAACGCACAGTACTGCAACGACCTTTACCGTTGGTGGTTGTAACAAGTTTACGATCTACAAAAATAAAACAACTAAAAAAATACCTTCCTCAATGAGTCAATAAAAGTGAAAATTGAAAAATCTCTTTCAAAACACATTTTTGAATTATATATTTTAAAGATTACTATTTCTATTCATATGGCAAAAAATGGAACCCCTTAAATATTTCTTGAAATATGTGTTTTTGGGGTAAAATGTTTCAAACAAAAGTTGTTTGACTTAAAAAATGTAACAATTATATTAATAGAATTAATTTTAATTAATAATGAAAGTAAATTAGAACATATATTGTATGTAGTTTAAATTATTGATCAATTTTATTCCTTTAATAAGTGACATACAATGTGCACGCGCGTATCTAATGCTAGTATAAATATATTTATATATGTAATATAAATAGAATAAACAATTTTTAGAATAAAAATGATTTAATAATTAAATATCTTTAAAATAAATGCACATTAAAACAAAAAAAAGTAAGTTGATTTTTTTTAAAGCTTACCTGCATAAATCCAGCACATGCGGCTGCTCCGCATTTGTCTCTCGACATGCCAATCATATTGCCGTTGATTTTGATATCAGCGCCACCGGTGTCATACGTGACGCCTTTTCCAACAAGGAGCAAGGTTTCGAGAACACAAGCAGGATTTGGTGGTTCATAAGTTAAGAAAATAATTCTACCAGCGTGTCTTGGTATCACAGATGCGGCACGATTCACCGAAGCGAACAGTGGATATTCCTGTAAAAGTGTCTCTTGATCGTTGATCACTTGAACGGAAATATTAGTTCCCGAAAATAGTTCGGAAATATACTCCTCAACTCTTGGCGCTGCCATTCTTTCGGGATCACCACCACCTTTATAAATAAGAAAAGTAAGAAGAAAATTCTTTGACAAAAAAATACCAAATTTACAGGGCACTTCTATTTTAAGCTTTTTAAGAATTGTTTACTTCTATTTGTTTTTCCTCTTATTAAGAAAAAAGTATCGAAGAAATTATTACAGGAAATGACTGAATTACAAAACCGTGAAAAGGAGATAAAAATTTCTATTAAGAAAATATTTTTTATTTATTTTTATAAATTTTAGAGGTGTGCAAAAAGCTCGAATAGCATGGTCGAGCTCGAGCCGGGCTCGATACTCGAGCATTATAAATATTTTAGTTACTCAAAAATATTTGAGAGCTCGAAAAATTCAAAAGCTCAAAATTATTTTAGCTTTTATACTGCACGTTTCGGATGGAATTTGGTTCGAGTACGGATTGATTCTGCTCAGCTCTGCTAGAAAAACGAAAAGCTTGAAAATACTCGATCGAGCATTTTGCACACCTCTAATAAATTTGTATTTTCAATTACTAAAGTTTCCTAACTTGCAAAATTAAAAACATACGATAAATAAGTAGTATTTTTAACTTCAAATCTTTAAATTTTTACAAATGTTTTTTGCAGCAAATTTCAAAATAAAATTATTTAACCCCTTCACTGTCAGTGGGCTCTATAGAGCCATAAAACTGTCGTGCCCTGTATGTCCATGGGCTCTATAGGGCCATCGAAAAAAAAGACATTTAAAAGTTAACGAATCTGGCTAAAAATCCTTACTCGGGGGTTTTCGGGGTCGCTGAATCCAAATCCGTTGTCAGAAATTCAAAATTCAAAATGGCGGCTTCAAACTGGCGCCCAAAAAAATTTTTAAGTTAACGAATCTGTCTGAAAATGCCTTAAAATGCCTACTCGGGGGTTTTTGAGGTCGCTGATTCCAAATCCGTGGTAAAAAATTCAAAATTTAAAATGGCAGCTTTAAAAAGGTGAGAAAAAAAATTTTTTAAGTTAACGAATTCGTTAACTTTTCAATTTTTTTTGTGGTCGATATTTTGAAGCCGCTATTTTGAATTTTGACTTTTCGACCTGAAGGGGTTAAATTTAATTTTAAAGCGTTTTTAGCTTATTTTAAACCCATTTTAAAGAATAGGCCTGTTTTAATATTATTAAAACAATTTATTATTAAATAATAATAAATTATTATTTAATATTATTAAAAATGTAATTAAGAAAAAAGATAAACAAGATTGTTAGAATGGAAATAATACAAATGGTGATAATATTTATTGATTCGTGAAAGTTCGTTGCTGCCTCGTGAAAGATCGTAGTGATGAGTCGACGCGAGCCGAAAACTGACGAGTAGAAACAAACGTCGGGAAAGTTCAAATAGACTTACAAGAACATAGAGAAACTAATTTCTATTTAAACCAAAATTTTCCATTCAGAAAATAATTTCTCATTTATAATATATAGTTTTATTTCGAAGAATGTTTTCTATTTAGAAAAAAATTTTCTGTGTTGACATTTCTTACGCATTCTTATCCAAAATAAGGTCTTGAATTTGTCCGATTTTTTAGGTAGAAAACATTTTTCTATTCGGAGAATAATTTATTATTCACAAACTTGTTTTCAGTTTAGAAAAAAATTTACAATTTCAAAAATAATTTTCTTTACTTAATGTGAAAAAAAATTGGAAGAATTTAAAGATTGATGAGCGAATATTATTTGAGTAGGACGAATGAGTCTGTCGACTAATGCACTATATGAAGGAAATGAACAAATGGTAAGTAAAAGTAAGTAAAGTAAAGTAAGTAAAGTTGTAGTGCAAGGCAATTAAGAGCGAAGTAAATTCAAAGGTGCCGCAGAGGATTTAAGAGGCCTCGAGCAATTTTTCTTGACGAGAAAAAGAAATTTCGACATTCAGCGTCTTACTTTCTCTCTCTCTCTACAAATAGTGTGGGAATGTGAAAGAGAGTGGGGAGGGGGTAAAAAGGGGTTATGTGAGTGGAAAGTTTGAGTTGATGGCACAAACTGTTATCCGTCGATGTCAGGTGCCGAAGAAACTTAGTCGCCCGTCCCTGGGCATTTTCAAGTTTCTTTTGACTAGCTTGGGGAAAACGACTTACCGATGTCCCTTGCGACGTATCTTCCGCTTTCCAAGGCAGTTGCGAGCTTTACGATCCCCTGCAGCTTCTTACTGCAGATTGGACTCCATACACCTAACTGGCATGCCTTGTAACATCGCTCTGCTGATATCTCTCGTACTTCAAGGGGCTGTAAAACCAAGAATCATAAACATGGTCTCTCTCTCTTCCTCTCTTTTTTGGTTTGTCATATTTTTTAAAATTGTGCTTTTTTCTTTCTGTTTAAGTGTATTTTTTGCTATATCAGAAGTGTTTTGTATTTTTTTCTTTTTTTTAAAGGAATTTTTATTAAATTTTAATTGCTTCAATTTATTTAAAATATTTATTTTTTTATACACCCGTCTTAAGCTTATCTAACCATACAAGTGTTTACATTTGATACATTTTCTTTTACAATACTTTCTATACTTAATACTAAATTTTGCGTTTACAGAACGCAAAGACTTGAAATTGTTAATATTCGCATTTGCCTGGACCACCCGTCTAATTAGATTTCTCGACAGTGGAGAGGGAAACTGTAGAAAACCTCTCCGAGTACAACCGGTTTATCGACAGTAAACAAATGTTCCTAACCTCACAAACTTACATACTTAACCACAATAAACAAAACGAAGTTTTATTAAGGTGAAAGAAGTTAACAATTTTCCGAATCAATTTTAACAAACAAATAAATAATTATCTTAAATAAATCTCTTTATAAGCTCATGGGTTTCATATTTATCGACAGCACAGCTGCCCTAATACAGAAACCTGCTTAATTTGAAAAATATTTTCGAAATTAATTAGGGTAGAGTGGGGTAAAAAAGCCACATTTTTACTTTTGATGCTGTAAAATCTGTATTTAAAAATTTTTTCTCAAATTTAAAAAATATTTTAATAATTATGAAAGAGTTTTTAGCAAGCAAAATTGAAAATTATATTAAGTTTACCTGTTTTCGATTTGCACTGCCAATTTTTCGTACCTTTTTTAGAAGTTCTCTTTAAGTTTCACCACAGATAACATATTTCGTTGCAACCGTTTATTCATTGTTTATTTTTTTAATGCACTTTGAACTACTTTTTCGTCGTGTTTAATTAATTAAATTATTATTATTATTATTATTATTATTATTATTATTATTATTATTATTATTATTATTATTATTATTATTATTATTATTATTATTATTATTATTATTATTATTATTATTATTAATTAAATTTTGTAAAATTAGAAGGTTAGTTTAAATAGAAAAGAAGTGAATTTCACAAAATATTCAATGGATTTTTTGCCCTGGCTTTTTCACACCCAAGACCAGTTATTAAAAAAGCAAAAATAAATTTTTAATTCAGTTCAATTTCCAAAAATTAACATTGTATACGATTTCGGTATACTTTTCTCCTTATGTACAAACATTTACTTTTATTATTCGTTTACTTAATCAGATTGTAATATGTTTGAAAAGTTCACCAAAATGTTTTCAAAAAAGCAACAAAAAATTAAAATTACAATAAAAACAATATTAATCTAGGTACAACATTCAAACTAGATTCAAAAGTTGCGTATTACCTAATAGTATTTATATTCTAAACAGCTGATAAATCGGCTTAATAGTTTTCAAATAAAACTCAAATGGCTTTTTTACACCATGGCTTTTTCACTCCACTCTACCCTAATAATTTCAAAATTATCAAAGAACTCAGAAAAAACGGTAGCATGGTGGGATACGAGCCCACGACCTTTCTATTGCCGGTAGACTTCTTTCACCTTAATATTTGATTGTTGAATGATAAATTCATTTCCTCCAATTAAAACGAATTTTTGTTGTCGAGGAATCTTAAAAATACAATCAAAAAATCATATATTTATTATACGTTTCTTTAAAAATAAATAAAAAATTATTTGTCGAAAGATATATTTTACTAAAAATACATAAGGAAACAAAAAATACTTTTAGTGCTGAAAATTTTATTTATTTATTTTATTTTTTATTTATTCAAAAATAAATTCCTAGGGCTAATGAGCCTACTGAGGAAGAAGATACATACCCGAGTCGAACTTTTAGACCTGCTTACCTCCTGGTAAGTATAATTTAACCCTAACCTGCACCTAACAAACCCTTGGTGTTTTTTTCCTCCTGCGTAAGTTCTATTTAACTCTGACAACTCCTTTTTAAGTCCTAATTGAACCTTAAACCCTGTATTGCTTCTACCACATTCTTACGCAATAGGAAATGTTACGCGCGGTACAAGATATTCAACTTATTATTGTTTTGCAAATTACAAAATTTTTTATTTTGAAAATTTCACGAAATAATTCAATTATTTTCTAAAATTTTAATAAATCCTTCGAAAAAATTCAATTATTTTTATAAATAGTAAAATTCTTCCGAAGAATTCAATTAATTTTATAAATAGTAAAATTCTTTGCAGGAATTCAATTATTTTCAAAACAATTTTAATTGAATTCCTTAGATGAATTCAAATATTTTAAAATATTTTCATAAATTGCAATTATTTTCTTAAACTTTAATAAATTCTTCGAAATAATTTAACTATTTTTATAAATACTAAAACTCTTTGCAAGAATTAAATGATTATTAACCCAATTAAAATAAAATTAAACGAAAGAATTTAATTATTTTCAAAAATTCCCATAAAATTTAGTTTCAACAAGAATTTAAAATTTTTGAAAAACAATTTAATTATTCTCAAAATATTTAAAAAAAATTCTATATAAGAATTAAATTACTAGCTCAATACAATTTTTGAATATATTCGTCAAAAGAATTGAAATAATTCTATTATTTTCGAAAAGTAATTAAAATTCTTATGATGAATTCAATTATTTTGAATATACTTAATTTTAATAAAATTCTTTAAAGAAATTCAATTATTTTCGAAACAACTTTAATTGAATTTTTCGAAAAAATTTCATGATTTTTAAATATTTCTATAAATTCTTCATAAACAATTTAATTATTTCTTAAAATTTTAATAAATATTCTATTATTATCAAATTTTTTGATAAAATTCTTTGCAAAAATTCGAAGATTTTCAATACATTAATTTTAAAATTGAAAATATTTGAAAAGAAAAATTAAAAAAAGATTAAGAAACCAAAATGTAAACAACAATTAACTTCAAACTGCGAATAGGTTACCGAAACATGTACTTTTTTATTATTAATTTATAAATATTATTTTTAACTGAAATGTTTTGCCATTTTTTTTAAATAATAAAAATATTAATTTATGAATGTTTAAAGGTTATTATTATTAAACAATTTATTTATTTGCTGTAGTGTATTAGTGTCAATTAATGCTTTATTGAATCGCTCAACAAGTCACTGAAAATAGAGCGTCTGTGTTCAGTTACCCAGGCGGAAATTTCCAACCGGCGCGGATCCTAGCCCGTACTGACGCCGGTGTAACTGTACTGGCTCGGAACCGCCTGCCAACCGAATGTGAACGGGCATTCTACCGAATAGTGACTAGGCCAGGAGCGCGCTGGCAACCGGCTCGGAACTGGCATTCTACCGCCCGCTGACCGGCCGGGAGAAGCCGTTCCGTGTATAATTCAACCGGCTGGGATCTGGCACTCTACCGACCATGGATTTTTCATTCAATAGCCAGCCGAGCGCTGTCATTCTACCGACTGACAACCGGATCGGATCCAAATGATAATGTTAACAAATATCAATAAAAAAAATAATAATTAATTGCAAAAGATAAATACTAATGACAATTCATTGACAGTTCACTTTACACATTTTTTTTTATTTTTTTATACACTTAAACGCAATTTTTTATTACATACACATTTGAAAAATCCTAACGCTTGGAGGTACGAACCTACGCCTAACCGAATATTTACGCACCGAAATCTCGCACGCTAACCACTATGCTACGCTCGCATGGGACTCTCAAATCTTAAATACTCTCAAGTGTCACTAGCTCAAATAAAACTTGCAGAATTACTACGCGTCAATGATACCGCTATATTTTCAATACTTTATTGAATGTATATTTAGGACTATTTCAATATTTCGTTAAAAAAGAAACTTGTTATATTTTTATTATTATATAATACATATATTGAATAATTGTTTTTTAATATAATAATATTGAACGTAATAATATTAATAATTTTAATTAATATCTCAATAATAATAAATTTATTATTATTAGGATATTATTAATTAATTTTATATATTATTAATTAACATTAATATTATTGAGAATTAATAATAAATTATCAATATTAATATTAATTAATAATATATCAATAACCATAAATTTATTATTATTGAGATATTAATTAAAATTATTAATATCATTACCTTCATTATTATTATATTGAGAAACAATTATTCAATTATTATTGAGATATTATTAATTAATAATATATAATATTAATTAATAACGAATTTTTCTAATTATTTAATTTTTAAAAAAGTCTCAATAAATGATTACTTAATATATTGATAGATTCATTTATTAATAATTAGTTTCTAAAATAATGCAATTACTTGTAATAATTATTTAATTTATAATGTGACAATAAATGACGAGATCCGCAGTCGGATCCGCCCCAGTACCGAGCCAGTACAGACTCAACATATCCGTCATTTTTCCGACGCCGCAGAAGAATAAGATCCGCCGGCGGAAGAAATCCAGTACCGAGCCAGTACTGACAATAGTAGGAAGACGGTTCCGACAGTCGGAGCATAATCTGTACCGCGCCGGTTGCTTTTTCAGATCCGAATCGGTACACACCGTCGGTACTTGCGGTCTGTACGGGCGCGGATCCCAGCCGGCTGTAAACTCCGACGTTCGTCCGACGAACGTCGGACCGCCGTCGTCGATCGTCGTCGTCGCCGACGTCGTCCGCCTGGGTAGGTTCCGTAGCATAGTGGTTAGGGCGTTAGTTTCGTAGTCCGTAGTTCGTAGGTCGTAGGTTCAAGTCTCGCGTGCGTTAGATTTTGTTTATTTCGTAGGTTTGCGTTTATTCCGATTTTTCTGTATTGTATAGTTACAAGTATGCAATTTAATGATTATATACACCGTTAAATAATTTAATTAACAAATATTAAATTAAAATTTTTTTTATATATAAATGGATATGGTTTAATCCCCACATATATACTAACATTATTTATGAATTCGCTATTGGTCACGATTAAATTAAAAAAAATTAAAAATCATTAAATAATAATGCCATTTATTAATAATTAAAGTTATTATAAAAATTAGTTAAAAATGATCTCAAATATGCTATGAGCAGTTTTTCCAGGGTTTTTGGAGAGGAAAGAATTCTGTAAGTAAGGGTCAGCAGTATTTAATAAGGTTCTAGGAACACCTGCTTTCCCCCTTTTACCATCTAAATTTGTCGCTAACCAGGGGTTTGCAGGAGGTAATCAGAGTTAACTTGCAATGCAAATAAACTCTGCTTTCATCCTATTACATCCTTACAAACCCTCAGTTTTAAGGAGGTAAGCAGGTCTAAAAGTTCGACTCGGGTAAGTATTTGATTATAAAATTATATTTAATTTTACAACTTTAAAATTGCATATCAAACATAAACAAGGTGAGAGAAAAAAAAAGAATTATTATATCTTCAATAAAACAATTAAATCAGTCACAGCCAACCATGCCTATGAGTAGTAATGAATGATATTGTCCCAATTAGCAAGAATTAACAAAACTAAAAAGCAATAAAAAAAATAATATATAGGGTAAGTCCAAGGAAGATGGCCATAGTTTTTTTAAAGTACTGTAAAAATTATAAAAAAGCGATTTATGTCTAAACTTTTATTGATAATTAAACATTGAACACTTAACTTTAAAGTAACGAAAAATAAAATAAAATATTTTCATAAGAACAATCTCAAAATTTACATTTTGTAAAAAGTGCATTTGGCCATCTCTACCGGAATGTCCGGGTGAGATGGCCAATGCTTATAATGTTTTACTTTTAGCTTAAACTTAATTTTTAATCGTTCAAATTACTTTTCTCTTATTCTGGTCACATTTTGAACATTTATCATGGGATTCAGTCCAGTTTTTATGTAGCAAAAAATTTCAAATACAATCTTCAATCAATGTCGTTTGATTGTAATTTTCAACTCAACTTAAAAATATATCTCCATCTCTAATGTCAATTAGATCAATTATTTTGTTCTCGGACATTTTTAATTTGTTTTTCTTTCATATTTCTTAAGTATCTAACATTAACATAAAAAATTTTAAATAAAAGTCATTAATGGCCATCTCACCCAATAATACATGACAAAAGTAAACATCAAAATATTAAATAAATAAAATAATTTTTCCATTCATTTTTTGTGTATATCGAAGCGTGGCTTATGCACTACTCATTAAAACTTTAAATTATAGAAAATCCGTTAAAAAATAACAATATAGCAGTAAGAAATCTGAAATTCTCAAATTATTTTGGACCCATGCAAGAAAATGTAGAAGGATTACACTTACATTTTCATTATTTTTCAACAATTTGTTGTTTACATTTATTAGTAGTCACCAAAGGTTGAAGAATAACCCATAATAAGTGATATTTATTAACAAATTCTGTAAAATCATAATTTTGCCATCATAATGTTGCCTGATCGAAACTTACATTTACTACTTTTACTAAATTATTTTGACTGTAATGGCAAATTTCGTCATCTTACTTACAAGTTTCGTGATTTCGTCTGTTTGACATAACACTAAAATTAACCGAAAATTAAAAGAATTTGTCTGACCGAAATATATTTTAGCAACTTCACTTTTAATTCACTTTTACTTCTAATATAGTAAAACTTATACAAAATAAAAAATATACTACTTGATGTTGAATTATTTTTGTAAAAATAAATTGTATTTTTATTATTGTCCGACAAATAATTTACTTATTCTATTAAAACGAAATCATTCTGTCTGACTATATAACTTGTTTTACTACTTAGAATAAAGTTACAAGAAAAATATTCTCAAGAACAAATAAATTTGAAAAAAGCTTATTACAATTGTATAGTTTTGAAAAAATGTTTTGTCCGATTAAAACTTATTTTTACTACTCAGTTTCAAATAAAAGAGACTTAAACAAAGTCACACTGAACTAGACTCTTACGTATACGTAAAGATAATGAAATTACAAGAATCAGGATACTTTTGCCTCTACTGAAATAGATTTTACTACTGATACTAAAATTACAAGGATGAAAACAAGTTTGCCTAGAATTAAAAGAGTTATTTTCTACCACAACTGATTTTACTAGTCTGACTTTAACAGGTTTTACTACTGATACTGAATTGTCCAAGAAACTATATAAATTCGTCTTTTGATAAAAAAGTTGGTTAATTTTTTGTAAAAAAATTAATAATAAAGTTTCAAAACTGAAAAAAATATTGTTTGCCTATATAAAGACTTTTACTACTGATACAAATATTAGCAAAAAATCTGCATAAAATTCTCCACTTTAAGGAGATTTTTCTACTGATGCTAAAGTTTACAAAAGTTTGAATAATTTTGCCTGACTAAAAAGAATTTTACTACTAATATTTCAATTTCTAGAAATTTGATAAATTTGTCTGACTCTCTAGATTTTACTACTCATACAAAAATTATGCATCGGGTTTCAAAACTAAATTTAAAAAAACCAAAGAATCAATGTTTAGAATTTATAATGTTGTCCCCCTAAAGCAGACTTTTACTACTGACATTAAATTTTCAAACAAATCTGAATAGTAATGTCTAACAAACAGATTTTACTACTGCTAGAAAATTTACGAAAACCTTAATTTTTTGTCTGACAGAAATTTACTTTTACGACTGTTACTAAAAGTTAAGAAATCATACAATCTTTGTCTGCTGAAAGCAGTATTTCACTACTGAAACTAACATTCCAAGAATCTGTCCTATTTTTCCCAGTGTAAGAAGACTTTAACTACTTATAATAAAATTACAAGAATCCGAATTTTTCGGGTGACACAAACAGATTTTACTACTGATATTTAATATCAGTAGAACTACAAGAATCAGAAAAGTTTGTCTGACAGAAACAGACTTTTCCTGAGGATACTAAAATTACTCAAAATAAAGAAACGTCTGACCAAAATGGGCTTTCACTACTGATACTAAAATTACAATATAGAAAATCATTCAATTCGATTGTAATAGTAGTTTTACTACTGATATTAAATTTCCAAAATAACTGGATAGTATAGTGTCTGACATAAACAGATTTTACTACTGGTACAAAAATTATTTTTTCCTTAAAAAACCTAGTCTTATTCCATTTATTTCTTCCTAGTTAATATAATCTCAATCTTAACCCCAATAAAATTTCAATTTTCAAATTTCCAAAAAATTTTAAACAAACATTATCAAACAAAAATATCCAAACTAAATATTTAAAATATCTTTCCCATTCCAAAAGAACAAGGAAATCCCTCCCTTCTGCAAAAATAGAAGACCACCCAAAAGAAAAAAAATAAATAAAAGAAAGCATAAATAACCTTATAGTGTTTTTAAGACAAGTTCATGAATTTTAGATGCGCAAGGACAAAAAGTAGCTACCCCGTTGTAGAAGCTAAAGATGGCAAGTAGAAGTAAAGAGGAGGGGACAACGACGGGTTTAACAAATATTTTTCAAGAAAAGTTATTTCTTCTCAAGATGAATATCATGAAAGCGTTCAGATTACGCGGTTCAGGAATTCCGAGGGCGTCTTTGGGTATTTCGAAAACGATGCCTTGCATTTCGGTGTGTCCTTGCCTTATATACATATATACACGTTCCCTTTACTCCTTCATGCAAAAGAAGGGACGACGACTATAACACAGCGAGTGGCGACGCAAGGACTTCGAGTATTTCGTTAATTAGGTCGCCTACCAACCACCGCAAAATTCAGGAACGCGAGATATTCGTTACACACACACTGTGAGATTGTAGTTTCCTACACTAGACTATTTATACATAAAGAGAGAGAGAGTGTGTGTGTGTGTGTGAGTGTGTGTGCTTCCCCTTTCACCTCAATGCCCGCACGCTTTATCCCGATTCTCGAGAGCTTTACTCAAGCTTACTGCTTTCCAAGACTTTAGGAACTATATATACAGGAATTTAGTGTATTATATATGTATACAGATGGTGCAGGAGGCAACCCATCAGGGATCAAGATTCGTATAGTTCGACAAGATTTTCAAACACTTACCACATATAGGCCCTCCAGAGCACCTAACAATGTTACCAACTCGACATTTTCAAACCGAGAATCCGGAAGTAGTGCTATTAATGGACGTCGAACTCCAGCCACCAGTGCCCTAAAATTTACAAGAATGAAATATTTTTTTTCTTATATTTTCAAATAGCAAGGAAAATACCTTTTTATTGTCCAGAAAAAAGTAGAGTAAAATAGGATACATTTTTGTAATATTTTTAGTTGCCAGAGATTAAACTGAATTACATAATAAAAATCACTTAAAAAATTAGTCTTAAAATGATTTAGTTAACAAAAATAAAGACAACACACAAAAAAGCCAGTCTCATTTTTGTTGCAGCTTAAAATGAGTAGCGTAGGATACTCAGTGTGGAACTAAGTTTTTTCAGTGAATTGGAAAAAAAATCTTAGAACAAGCAAGGTGGAATTAAAGAAAACTCGTCCACTATAATTTATTGCTTCTTTGACATTATTCATTTGAAACATCTAGTAGATAGATTTGAAAAAATATTAAATATTATATTTATACACTGAGAGAAATGGATAGTCAGATTTTGATGTTAAAAAGATGATGTTACACGATACTATCATTATGCTACTGCCAACCATCACAGATGCTAAAAAAAATATAGTTATGCTACCCCGTACTACCAAGATGTTACTCCTGATGATATTGATGGTAACGGTGACTATCTAGATAGCTGTCTGTATACGTAGCATTAAAGATGGTCACCCTAACCACAATTATGTTACCCACTACTATAAATTTCTCTCCGTGTATGTTTATTAAACCTGACGCTTTTGAGATTTCAATATAAAAAAGTATTATTTAAATTCTTTTAATTAATTAATTAGGTACTAATTAAATATAAATTCCTCTATATACTTATATGAGAAAAATCTCGATCACGGTATTTAACTACAAAGTAAGTGCTCAATATTGAAAAGCGAATGTATTACATTGCAGCGCGGCAGTCTCGGCTAATCCGCCGTTCAGTATGGAAGTACGAGACAACCGTCGCTCACTTATCTATATTTGGGTAAGAATTCCTGAAGTGCCTATTTTTCATTTCATTGGGTCGGTGAATTTTTCTCATTCTTATATGTTTCGATAGCCTATGATAGTAAAATAAAAACCTATAAATAATTTTCCAAAATTCGAATATTTGCCAAAGGTATTCAAGGTCAAAATTATTTGTAGCGTTTTAGTAAATAGCTAATTACTCGCGATTGGGAGAACCGATTTTAATAAAAATTGGAGGATAGTTTACCTGAAGAATTTTACTTTAGATAAATGATCAAAATTTTAATTAAAAAATATAATTTGTTTAAATAAATTAAGTTTTTAATTTTTGGGGTTAAAAAATTTGTTCTCCATCTTTTCTTTGGATTTTTTTTTAAATAATCAAATAGAGAATAGGGGAGACCGAGGTGAGTTGTAACAGAGGTTAGTTGTAACAGAGCCGATTTCTCGAAATCTGTGACCTTTTAAAAATTTTGAAAAGCGTGAATTTATTACATTTGTGATTCACTATTCGATGCAAATTTACTTGACCACCTAAGAAAAGTTTATGAGATTTATTTAATATGTGTGCAAAAAAATTGCTAAAAGCAAGTTTTCGGCTGAAATTTTGATACTTTATTATTCGACACATATTAGATTTTTGTTATTCTCATATTTACCTTCATAACTGTTGGATATCCTACTCTCTAAATCTGAATATGTGAAATTTCACTTATTGTACGTTATAAGTCGTCCTCTCGATCAATAAGTGCATATACACTTATAAATAAGTGAATTTTTCACTTATTCTGAGTGAAATTTCACTTATTATAAGTGAATATGCACTTATTAATCGAGAAGACGACTTATAACGTACAAATATGTGAATTTTCACATATTCAGATTTAGAGAGTAGTTTTATGAAATGGTTTTGTTTTTTGTGTCAGTCTCAAAATTTAAGGCTATGTCCAAGTTGTGAAATGTAAACAAACCAAAAGGTTACTAAACCAGCACTAAAATTGCAATTTTGCGACAGCCAATTCTCCCACAAAAAATAACATTTTTACACTTTCTTTACGAAAATGGAAAATTAGAGTATCAAAATTTCCAATAAAATTGTTTTTGACTATGAGCAATAAAAAGCAATTAGTAAAAAAACTAATTAAAATGACCTGTAAAATGGCATTTTTGACGCGTCGCGAAAAATAAACTGTTTGAGTATATCAACGGCATGGATGATGAAGAAGTTACATGTCAGCGATTGGACCTTCGACATGTGGAAGGGTAAATTTTTCCCTTTCCTCCTTGAAATTACAAGAGAAAGGGTAAAAACTTCTTCATCGTCCGTGCGGTTGATATAGTCAAACAGTTTAATTTTTCGCGACGTGAACTCTGTTGCTCGCTGCGCGTGCGCAGACCGTACCAAGGTCGCAATGACATCACCATGAAAAAAGGCACAATTTGTTTTTGACTGAAACTCAGTGGTTTTCTCATTTTTTCAGTTATTCAAAGTTTAGTAACCAAATTCGATACTTTAGTTCACCATTTCCATAAAGAAAATGTGAATTTATATTTATTTACGCAAATGGGAACGGCGAAAAAATGGTTTACTATTCGGTCTATAATGAAGCATTTTTTCGCTGTTCCCATTTGCGTAAATAAATATAAATTCACATTTTCTTTATGGAAATGACAAACTAAAGTATCGAATTTAGTTAGGGGCCGTACACATAATACGTCACGCGATTTTTGACCATTTTTAACCCCTCCCTCCCCCTATGTCACACTTCGTTACAAATCTTGAACCCCCCCTCCCCCCTACGTCACGTCACACACGTAAATTTCACTGTAAATTTTATACATTGGACAATATATATTATATCTTACACTCTAAATTATTGAATCAGTTAAAAATACCTGATTTAGAAGCAAAAAGTCAGTCACTAATTCAAATAGTAATATTTTTTTCTGACAATTAGTTGAAAATAACTGATGTTTCAATACAATTGTTTTTGATTGATTCAATTAGTCACGTTTAACTACCTACATAGCACCGAAACTTTCCTAAAAATTTACTAAAGATTTACTCGCAAGCTTCGAAATATTTAAATGCAAAGTTTAGTGAAAATTGTGTAAAGATTTAAATATCCCACTTCAATAAATGTTTAGCGGGAAACTTTCCCGAAAATTTAAGTTAAATTTTCAGGAAGATTTTCACGAAAGTATATAGTCGAAAATGCAATTCAAATGTCCAGGAAAGTTTCAAGCTATATTTTTAAGAAAATTTGACGATAAACATTTATTGGAGTGAGAAATTTAAATCTTTACACAATTTTAACTAAACTTTGCAAGTAAATTTTTCGAATTATGCAAGCAAATTTTTAATATACAATATTTAGAAAAATTTTGGTGTTTTGTGGATAATTTTTCAGTTATTTTTAACTGATTCAGAAGCAAAAAGTCAGTCACTGCTGATTGACAGTTAAAACCATGATTTTTAACTGATTCAAATTAAGAGAATATATATTATTTATCATATTATAAATAATATGCCAATAGATGTTAAACAGGTACATTATAGATATTTAATAGTTCAAATCATTTTTAACTTGTTTTATTTAGAAAAAGTGACATTGTCACATATAATTTCTTATAATCTTTGAATTTAAAAGATTGTGACGTAACACATGAGTTCACCCCCCCCTCCCCCATGTCACACTTAGTCACAATTCTCAGACCCCCTCCCTCCCCCTAGCCGCGTGACGTATTATGTGTACGGCCCCTTACTACACCTTGCATAGCTGAAAAAATGAGAAAACCACTGAGTATCATTCAAAACCAAAATTAAGAATGCATTGACAGCACCATGCGAAAATGCACATTTTGTTTTTGACTGAAACTTAGTTATTTTCTCATTTTTTTCAGCTATGCAAGGTGTAGTAAACAAATTCGATACTTAAGTTCGCCATTTCCATAAAGAAAATGTGAATTTATATTGATTTACTCAAATGGGAACAGCGAAAAAATGCTTCATTATAGACCGAATAGTGAAGCATTTTTTCGTCGTTCCCATTTGCGTGAATAAATATAAATTCACATTTTCTTTATGGAAATGGTGAACTAAAGTATCGAATTTGGTTACTAAACTTTGAATAACTGAAAAAATGAGAAAACCACTGAGTTTCAGTCAAAAAGAAAATGTGCCTTTTTGCATGGTGATGTCATTGCGACCTTGGTACGGTCTGCGCTTGCGCAGCGAGCAACAGAGTTCACGTCGCGAAAAATTAAACTGTTTGAATATATCAACCGCACGGACGATGAAGAAGTTTTTACCCTTTCTCTTGTAATTTTAAGGAGGAAAGGGAAAAATTTCCCTTTCCACATGTTGAAGGTCCAGTCGCTGACATGGAACTTCTTCATCATCCGTGCGGTTGATATACTCAAACAGTTTATTTTTCGTAACGCGTCAAAAATTCTATTTTACAGGTCATTTTAATTAGTTATTTTACTAATTGCTTTTTATTGCTCATAGCCAAACATGATATTTTGGACTTTTTGAAACTAATTTTCCATTTTTGTAGAGAAAGTGTAAAAATGTTATTTTTTGTGGGAAAATTGGCTGTCGCAAAATTGCGATTTTAGTGCTGGTATAGTAACTTTTTGGTTTGTTTACATTTCACAACTTGGACATAGCCTTAAGATAAAAAATAATTATTCGAACTGATGTACAATTTTTCGCACCTAGGCGAGTTGTAACAGGCTGTATCAACTCACCTAGGTGTACGCAAATTTGTGCTTGATCGAATAGAGACTGTTTGGATTTTTGCTAAAGTATATTGTTTTATATTTTGGCTTTAAAAGTATTTAGAATTTTACAAATTTTCGTGTAAATCTCTTTTATATTTTCCAAAGGAAAAAAAATATTAATAAAAACATTTTTCGAGTTGCTCTTTCATAAACAAAAGTCAAAAATAATAAATAAATTTTCTTACTCTAATTACTCCTTAATTATTTCAAAATTCGCAAACGCTCTTCGTCAAAGATTCAAGTTGCATTTGATATTGGCTAGACATAACTTCTGTCTAGTTTTTTTAATGTTA